CGGGGGAGCGCAGCGAGGGGGCGAGGTGAGCGCTGGGCGCGGCGGGGCCGCGGGGCGGGCCGCGCCGGCCCGGAGACATCGGGCCTGGCCTTGGCGCATCTTTCTCCTCCTTTCCAGAAAGTTCGTGTTTTTCAACATCCCCCAGATCCAGTACAAGAACCCCTGGGTGCAGATCATGCTCTTCAAGAACATGACCCCCTCGCCCTTCCTCCGCTTCTACCTGGGTAGGTGCCGCCGGGACGGCGGCGGTGCGGTCTGGGCCCGCGTCTGCCTCTCCCGCCCGGCCCCAGCCTGGGAGGAAGGGGAAAGCGTGTCGGGAAAAGCGCATCAGCGCAGATTGCGTCCTCCCCGCCGCTGCGCCGGGCTGCTGCAGGCGCGCTCGCTGAACCCAAACAGCCGCCTGTGCCGGGCTGCAGCGGGGAGGCGAGGGAGGGTGCGTCCTCCCCTTGGGTGTTTGAAAGACGTGGCAGCTCCTGTGAAACGGCACGGGGCGGGAGGGCAGTTTGACGTACTACTGCAGATCTTTCTTGACAGACAACGGAGAACAAGTTTTGGTTGATGTGGAAGAGAAAACCAGCAAAGAAATAACAGAGCACATTAAAAAAATCTTGGGGAAAAGCCAGTAAGTACCACTTCAGCCAACATATAGCATACATCATAATATAGTCCCTGCAAGCTCCTGACAGGTATACAAAAGGAAATGCCCTTTTTCCCAGATAAAATTGACAATGAGCTAGATAAAGTCCACAAGCTAAAAACTGGTAATCCATCCTTCTGTTAGACTGGGTCCAGGGAAGGGAGAGGAAATGGTGCTATTTAGACTTCTTAGAGTAACGGACAGATCTCTTTTCTAGAGAAACACTTGAAAAAGAGGAAAGGGAAAAGAAAAAACTATCACATCCGGCAACTTTTGGATCCAAGAAGTATCATCTGCGAGAATGCATGTGTGAAATTGAAGGCCAAGTTCCCTGCCCTGCTTTTGTGCCACTGCCCAAAGAGATGAGGGGAAAATATAAAGCTGCTACAAAGGATGAAGCATCAGCTTGACATCTGAAGCCATGCAGTTTTTCCTCAGGGCTGGATGATCTCACTTCAGTGAGAGAAAGACCTAACAGCTGCGGGACACAGGGACAAGTTCAGATAATACAGACAACCTCGTCTGAGTTTTCTTACTGCTACAACCAGAATAAGTGAAAAAATAAATAAAAGTTGAAAATTCAGCTTTTTTGGTGCCAGTTTGACAAAGCATTGCAGTCAACAATGCACACAAGGAAAAGAGAATGACTAGAGCCGTTTCCTACTCCTGTATAAGGTTATGGCAAAACCAGGACCATGTTAGCTATAAAAAGTTACATCTTCAAAGCAGCACAGAATTCCACAATGTATAGAAAGTGGCACAGTGGTCTAAAAGTGTTTCTGCTGATTTCCATCGTGTACTAGCTGAAGATGGCCAAATCATAATGTAACTCCAGGCTCAAACTACAGAATAAGTTTTATTTAGTCATTTAGTTACCACTCAAAAGTCTAATTTAGAGCAAGATGTAACTTTCTCAGTCGATAACTGGCAGCTCTGAGAAGCACTGATCAAGTCAAGAATGTCAGCAGGAAAGACCATGTAAGTAGGTACTTGAAATATAAGCTTTACAATTATCTTTATTGTCATTCAAAAAAATTCAAAGCTCCTCTTAAAACAATTACTTAAACAGTCTTCCTTAAGAGACATACAAGGGAAAACTGTGTCTAGATATATCAATTTCCAGCAAGTTCTAGCCAGCAAGTCCACTATGCTTCACAGTCCAGTGCTGTAACTCCTCTTAACCTCAAACACTCCTGCTCCCTGCACGTGGTCAAAAACCCCATCTAAATCATTGCAGCTTCTGCCTTGCCAAACAGTTACGCTACACAAGACACACTGTACTCTGTTGCTTGGAATCTGGTTATTGCACTTACCTTTAAGTCAGGCTGTAGCACTATATTTCAGCTTTTCTGAGCTAATGGTCAAGTACAGTATTTCACACTGATGGAAGTGTCCTGTAAAAACTGTCAAGGACAAACAGCACAAAATAAACATGTTGTTTTATTTCATCTCTGTTTACAAAGTTTCCATACATGCAGAGTAGTGCATGCAGTTTAAGCAAAACTTAATGCTAGTTACTGAGCTTTATGGTAAGATGTCTTCATTCCTTGAGCCTCAGAGCAGTCCAAACACCAGCATAAGGCCTTCACTTTGGAAATGACTTTAGTATCACGTCTAGTCTATCACATTTAACACTGACAAAGACCATGAGGTATGCTAGTCTGTTACCTGCTTGCAAAAATACATTACATGTACAATAAGGATACTGTATTAGTGTATTAGACTGAAAATACAAACAAGGCAGGATAGATGCAACAAGGAAAAAAACCCCAGTTTAAATGTGAAAGCTGAAGCCACTAAAACATTTTTTTTCATGTTGATACAAAAAAAAAAAAGCGCTTTGTGTTACAGTACCTCAGGGAGCAATCCTCTTGACCAGCAGACAAGACTGTCTTAAATAACTACTTCATACTATTGCTGTTAAACAATTCCAGGGATTATGTTTACCTATCTTAATATTTTTTGCTGCCTTCATAAATTGGTGCCAGAGTGCAGGTTTTTCAGAATCCTGTTCTTCATTTCACTTGGTACAAAAATAGCACACAGGGACTCAACTCTAGTAAAACATCTCGGTATAAAAACTTCATGGTCTCAAGACAATCTGTTGTGCACACCTTTCAACTTCAGATTTAAGCTACAAGTAAGAACATCAGCTGTCCCTAACTGGCTGCTCTAAGTTACTCTGATCAGTTACTAACACTATTAAGTGAGGCTATAGGTGGTTTGGTTCTCAACACTTACACAAGTCCCTTCTGCCACTTACCACACAATAAAACTAGACTTCCTGCTCTTTAAGTAGCATAATTATTTGTGTCTCTAAAACATTATGCAATGCTTGGGTTACAGCTATACTAATATATATTATCAGAGACATAGTTAAAAGACAGGTCCCATTCCATAAAAGTACATTTCTGAGTAAGCCTACTATTATTAGTGCTATACAGTGTTATCTGCCTGATTTTCCTCTATTTCAGCTTTAAATAAATTTAGACTAACTCCTCCCCACCACCCTCTCAAACACCAGTGCCTGACGGTGGACCTGCACCTCTCAGACAAGAGCAGCTCAGGCCCCACCTCCCACCACCAGACCTGGCCCTGGTGCAGTCTCAGGCAGCCCCCAAGCCCAGCCTACAGCCCTCCACCCCAGCCACAGGCTCTGGCCGTGCCCTGGCCACGGGATCAAGAGGACTCCAGTTGGATGTTCTAATTTAAGACAGATATGCCTTATTCTCATAACGGCTTCTGAGGGGAATCAAATGTGAAAGGGAATTGCTACCTGGCACTGCCATGGCTGCAGGCTTTGTCTCCCAGCTTACACAGCATTCCAGTTCAGTGGAACTTCAGCTCTCCACTGTAAACAAGATTTTTGATCCTTGAATGCTACAAAAAGAGGGTTCCAGTCTCACAAATATGACAAACATGATCATTCTGTCACCCAGAGAGTTTAAAGAAATGCATAGATTCTGTAAGATAATTAGGAATTGGAGGGTCACCCTTTATATTACAAGTTGAAATAGTGCTAGCCAGATGCTATTCTCTGGAAATGAGTAGATACTTGTTCCCTCACAAGCAGGTCTCTGCAGCCAGCATAGCACTCTATTACAGTGTAGTTTGTGCCCAAAGAAAATGGGAAAATAAAAGTGATGAAAAAACAGCATCCAAATTTTACTTGGGAATTTTTATAAACACATTAAAAAGTTACTCATATTAAGATCAGTTACGAAGTTGTTCTCCATCTTAAAATCCCTTACATGTATTGGCATTGCACAAAACTGATCTACAAGCCTGTCTATTCTGCACCTCAGAGAAACACAGTGACCTTTAACAGCACCTTCTCATAACCCCATTAGGCAATTAAGAGAGCCTGTAACACCACACTGTTGTTACCAGAGGATGCAGAAGTTTCAGAAGTTTTCATCTCTTTTAGTCAAAGCCCCACTTGAAAGGCCAGTACTACAATACTACCACAGAAAGGGGGAAAGATGACAAACCCACGTTGCAGCCATTTCCAAGTCATAATTCCCTACCAGCACTTAACCACTTTGACCAAAATAAGCACACAGTAAGACCAGTTAGCATTAAAAGTATTGTAACAAGTTATTTTAAAATTTCTTAGTATAAGTGTTTGAGACCAGCAGCATACTTCAGTAATTCTCTCTTCAAGACTGAGTAGTAGTGGAAATGCCTAAATGAAAGTGCATAAAAGTCACGATTCTCCCAATTCCCTCTTGTGATCTGTATTCCTGCTTATAAGTATCTGCTCTACATTCCCATATTTAACAGCAGAAATAATTATTACACAGCCCTGTTGCTGCCTCAGCAGCTGGATTTCTCCTTCTGCTTTGCTAATGTGCGCTTCAATTCCTTTAAGTTCTCTGTCAGTACCTCCACCTCATCCATTCGTCCACTATGTTTGGCATCAAATATGTAAGCTTTGATATTGTCTATCTGCTGGAGAAGCAGCTCCTCCTCTATAGCCTCCTCTCCAGAGATCTCATTGCCATCCTCCACTTCAAAGGGATTGGTAGAAGATCCCTCTTCAAATGGATTGCCAGAATCCCAGCTGCCCCCCAGCTTTTGGAATGGATTTTCACCCTCTTCAAAAGGGTTTGAAGTACTGCCAGGTGCTCCATTAGTTTGTTCATCCTCCTCCTCAATTTCAAATGGATTATATTCTTTTTTATCTCTTTGCAGAGCTGTGTTAGAGAAAGAAACCACTGGAGAAGTGTCTTTGGTGAATGGGTTGGTAGGATCTTCCTCTAACTGAGGGGTATCTGCCTCGTCTTCAAAGGGGTTTAGACAGACTGTCTGACCATGGTCTTTGTCACACTGGGGGACATCCTGGGGTTTGAGTGTGAAGATCAAGTGCTCTTTAGCTGGCAGCTGCTCAACAGCAGCAGTTTCAAAATTTGGGTCCCCTTTCATCTGAGCAATATCCAAATGCAATGTATGTGCTGTCAAGTTATGATTCTCTTTTGCAACTTCACGCTGATGCTGCTTGACTTCTCTGAAGTCTAAGGAGCGTGTCCTTGAATGCTGAGACATGAATTTGTGATGTTCTCTTTCCCACTCTTTTTCACGAAGGATCTGAAGTTCCTCCCTCTGCATCTCTTCCTCTTCTGCCTGTTTTTTAGAAAGCTCAATCGCTTTCAGAGTTTGTTGTTGATCATATTCATCCTGAAGCTGCCTCAGGTTCTCTTGCAACATATGGACCTCGTCTATCCTATTAGCTGCCTTTGCTTGCTTAATAAAGGACGTGATGTTGTCAATCTGCTGAAGAAGAGGGTCTGCTATCTCACTTTCTCTTGGTATGCTAGATGTAGGTAACCAGCCTTCAGATTTCCTGACTCTTCCTTTTTTCAGGGGAGTTGCATCACCATTAACTGCGGCTGCAGATCTGGAGATAAAGTCTTTCTGCTTTTCCTCTTGTTTTCCATGTGTTTCAAGAGCCACCTAAAACAAAAAACATCTAGTAAGAGAACACCTTGAAAAATTCTATTCTAAATATCCACAGGTACAAGAAGTTAGGATCTTAGACATTGCTGGCTGTCACTTAAAGGGATCAGCTGCATTTTTGGTTACTTTGTAGAAAAAGCTTATTTTCATATTATTACCTAAATGCTTCCCTTCAGTTTGTGATACTGATCAAAATCCCATGACATCTGCCTCAACAAACTTGAGGGCGAGTAGGAGCAGTGACAGTGCTTTACAGAGCAAAAAGCCTAATGCAACTAGGCAGAGAGGTCTAGACCAATTTGGACAGTAGCTGCATCCCATCCAACTACACAGACTCTGTGCTACAACATCAGGGTTAAAGGTCACTGATACCATTAGATTCTGGAGTGCCACGATTCTGACTTCTCAACTTCCCTCTCAAGATAAAGCTGTTTTAGTTTACAGCTAACAATGTCCTCCCTCCTAGCTCAAAAACCACTCTCTCTAAATAGAGGGATCCTTATTCTAATATGCCCTTTATCACCACTGAAAGACGTCTCCAAATTCTGCTTGTGCATATGAACTCCAGAACACGGTCTGAAAACCCTGGCAGGCCAACACACAGTTGAGGGCCTGCTCTGCATGCACTGCATCAGGAACAGCACGTGCAGGCAAGTCACTGCTGCTCTCTGGATTAGTTCAGCTGCTCAGGACACAGCTACTTATGTTCTGGATAGAATGCAACAACGGTGTTACAACAATCCCTGAAAAAGTGTACGGAATGATCTACATGGGAATAAAAAGAACTGAAAGCCAGCGTTAAAGGCAACTATTTATAGACACTGAGCTACCAGGAGGAGCCCTGACACAAGGAGTAACAGATCGTAGTCTGTCTTACCATATGCAGTCTTCTCTTCTTCAGTTCTTCATACTGATCTTTGGTTGGCAGCGACATTAGGCCAAGCAGTTTTTCCTGGTGAAAAGTGAAATATTTACAGTGTTGCATGCAGGCATTCAGCCAGTTCTCAGGTACCTGAACAGAACACCCCACAAATGAGTAAGAGGTGCTTGTGCCCCTGCAGTCACTGCTGCAAGTCTGAGTGGGTCTGCTGGCCGCAGGCCAGGCTCAGGCTCACACCTCGGCCAGAGACCACACCAAGGCCCACACCTCCTCTTAGTCCCTAAACTAAGGCTACACTGCCTGCATTCAAGCTAGCCCATTTAAGGCTACCATTAGGGGAACAGAGAACATACAACTAAACCTCCTGTCAAAATAGTTTCAAACCACAGGGATCCTTGCAAAGAAAAGAACACTATATAAAATTTACATTCAGCTCCCAACATTTACCTGAACAAAAAGTGTAGCTGAATATCTGATCATCCTCTGAAGTTGTAGTGTTTTAGGATGAGGTTGGGGATCTTCATGCAAGCCCAGACTCAAAATCTTCTTACTGAATCAAAACAAACATACAGTCCCATCAGTTCAAAATCAAGGGCCAGTAAAAATGCAACAGAAGGGGAGAAAGACAACACTGGATGAAAATTTTCTGATGTTCTTTTAGGTAAACCATTTTAGATATTACCAGTTATAACACTTTCCACTCCCACCATTTTTTAAAAAACAAGCCAAAACCAAATAAAAAACCCCCCGTGTGCCACTATTATTTCCCTTGTGCTTGGAACGCATGATTAAGGCTAGAAAATGAACTAGAAATGGATGGTGCACAGCAACAGCATCTACCTTTTCACATGCTCTTTACAACCGAGCAGACAAACTGATTATCCATGTGAATAAGCAGGTATATGCTACACAAACACAGATCCCAACAGTTGAGAAAAACTGCACAGAGAAGTTGTAACAGAGGGAGATACACATATGCTGGGGGG